CCCCCTCTGTGGTGAACAGAAGATTCCAGTCTCAGAATGTCAGGTCATTCCTGGTAGAGGTTATCTGCAGTTATGGGAATCTCAGATCTTTGTTACTTGCAGAGGGTGCTTTTCCTCTGGCCAAGCTTCTCCCAACTTTCACATTATCCTTATCCTTTTTTTTTTGCACTAGGGATCATATCAGGGGTGCTTAACCACTGAGCCACATCCCCAGTCCTTTTTATATTTTAAGACAAGAGCCTTGCTAAATTACTTAGGTCCTCACTAAGTTGCTGAGGCTGGCTTTGGACTTGCGATCCTCCTGCCTCAGCCTCCCAAGCCACTGAGATTATAGGCGTGCACCACCATTTCCGGCTTCCCCATCCTTTTTCTTACTGCATGGACTGGCCCCAGTGTCCTGTGTAGGATGCCTTAGGAAAGGCTGACAGGTTCAGATGAGGGGAGATGTTGGCATTTTGAGAATTTTAATAATATTATCGGCCTTTTCTAAAGTAAGACATAGCTCATTTAATCTTCAAAGCAACCCAAGAGATAGATAATATTATTTTTCCCATTTGAAAAAAATTGGGATCAGAAAGACTACCTTGTCTAAGGACATAAGAGTTTACAAATGACAAAATATTGATTTGAGGCCAGGCAACCTAAACTTGAGCCCATGGTCTAAATCAAAAAGCCATAATTCAGAATGAAAGGAGTGAAGGGTAGGGAAATAAATGAAAGCAGCCTGGGCTATAAGCTGCCTCTCAACCTTATATCACTAGGTGAGAAACGACAAACCACTATGGTTGGCTTGGTTTTCATTAAGCAAAAATTTCTGTTTCTGAACTGGCTGACCTAGCATATTTTCCTCTCTATCAGCAGTAACTATTTATGAAGCACTTACTATATATATGCGAAGCACTGTGCTTTGCCAGAGAGGGAATGAATGTCAAGGTAAATAAGGCGCGATCCCTGCCGGCAAAGAACCCTACTGCAAGTGAGGAACCCACACTGGCTCATGGAGAGGAGGAATTTTCAGGATTCGATGCCACAAAAGTCCAACAGATAATTTTCACTCGATGTGCAAATGAATTCAGGGGCTTGGACCTTGTCATCGTCTCTGTTTCTGTCCTGTCTCTGACTCTGCTGCCACTCTTTCCTTCCTCAGCTATTCTCTGGTGTGGCTCGGCTCCTGGCTGGGTCACTTCCGTATGGTGGTGGCCCTGACCGATTCAGAACCAAACCTCTGATCAGAATGGAAGGCCTGATTGGCACAGGTTACACGTGCTCTTCCGAAGACAGGGGAGAGGTGAGACAGAGGTGGTGCCTTCAAGCCAAACCCTTTACCAGAGAAAGGAGTGAAACCTGGTCTGGAAACAGTGCCACATGCCCTCCATTACAGTCCATGTAGCAAGAAAGGATAGAGTGAAAGAACTCTGTCGTGATGAGGCTGTGACCTATCTGGACGGGGGCAGTGACACCTGCCTGTGATTGCAACGACTCCAGAGGCAGGAGGATCGCAAGTTCCAGACAAGCCCTGAATGGAATCCAGAGGGGGGTTTTCTTGGCTTGAGCCTTTCAAGGGTGAGAAATACTCTGAGTCACTTCCATTTTTGAGTTTTTTTTTTTTTTTTTGGTTGTTGTTTGTTGAAAAATATGAAACAATGGCAAATAAGCACAAAAAATTCTTTTCTCTTTTAATTCTTTACATTTAGCAAAGAAACACTTGGACACCCTGTCTCCAACACAACCCAGGCAACTGTGCCATTCTCAGACAATCAGAGGGTCAATATGCTCCTGCATTTCGCTCAGGCTGAGTGGTCCAGCCACAGCCACAAAGGGAAAACGTAGATGCAATCTCTCCTTCCCCTGGCCAGAGTATCTTCATGACTGTCTACGGAGGTGAGTTTAGATTAATACTAACAGCTTGTGCTAGTGTCCCTCCTGCTCCACACCAGCACTGCTCTGAGCCTGTTAGAGATCTCAACCCTGGGTGAGCTTTGGGGTGAGCTTAGGAGAGGTCTCTGCGGGGTGGGGGACAGGGTCTCCATGCTGCTGAACTCTGGGAAACATCCTCCACATCAGAGTCCCAGGAGATGATGCCCTTGAGTTGTTCAAGACAAAAAGCCTGTGCTCCCAGACATGTGGCCCACCACAGCAGTGTGATTCCCAAAGAAACGGAAGAAAATGTCCAATCCCAGCAGGCTTATCTACTCCCAGAAAAACAGTTCATCAGCCCTGGTTTTTGCTGAAATCACCAAACTGCAGTCCTCCGGGGATTTAGTTTTTGCTAGTGTCAAGTGTCAGAAACACAAGTTGGCCAGGAGTCGCCTCTAGTAAACTAGTCAACCTCCAAAGATGTGGAATAATTACCATAGTTGACAACTCTAACACAATTCTTCACCATAAACAGAAACAGAACACATTCTATGCAGTAGAGAGACTCTGTTCAGAAGTATTTGCACGAAGATAGTGTGTATTTTGGAAGGAATTCCTAGAACCCCTTGGTTTAAGCAAATCCAATAAGCAAAAAGCTGACTTTATACAAAAAAAAAAAAAAAAAAAGGCTAATTCAGGGGAATTATCCACTTTGCAAAATAATGCTTCACTTTACAAAAACATTTCCCTGTGGTATTTCTGTCTACAGGAGGCTCTTGTTAGCATGTTTATAACTTGAGACCCTTTTATAAGAATAGTGATAGCCTCATCACTTTTGGGGGCACTCCTGGAATGGGGAGGATAGCAGCAGGACTGGGAAGTGCTCACAGACCAGGCCTGGGACCCCAGCTGCTGTCAACAAGGACCTTTTGTCTCCCTGCAGATCCACACTCCAGAGTGTTACCAGCCAACTCCCCCTGGCTCCTGGGAGACAGCTGTGGGGCAGGGATACCATTATGGATTTCATAAGAGGGAGGGAAATCCCAGCTCTGGGAGATGGAGTGACTCATCCAAGGTTACCAGCAAGTCAGCGGGCAGGCGGGGGCCCTCCCTGCTCCTGGCAGCCCTGCCTAAAGTGCTGTGTATTTTTAAATGCCTAGAGGATCCTCCCTCCAAAGCTCAATTCCCATCTCTTTGAATGTGAGCTGGACTTTAGGGACCTGCTTCTAACAAACACAGAATGGAAATGCAGTGACTTATAGTGGAGAGACCCCACAAATACCACCTTGACTAAGACTGGCATCAAGGTTAACATCATCAGTAATAAGACAGGTTGATGCCACGTGCCCCTGATTGGATGCAAAGAGCAAGACGCACTGCCTTCATGATATGCTTCCCAGACTCCTTAGTCTCAGTTTAATGATGAAACATCGGTCAACCCAAGATGAGGGACGTTCTACAAAACACCTGGCCACTCCTTTTCAAAAGCTGTCAAGGAAATGAAAGGTAATCAGAGTCTTCATTATACAATAACTACACAATAGCTGAGGATATGCTTTATTACCCAGTTGAGTATGAAACCTATGTTCTGTATGGTTGAAGTAAGTATGCATATGATTTGCATTGTCCCTAATCTTAAGAAAAATTATGCATTCTATCTCCAGTATTTCTAAATAGATTATTCACATTGAGAAATTTCAAAAAGAAAAAAAAAAAGCTGTCAAGGTCATGGCAGTCCAAGAACTTGTCACAGATGGGAGGAGATTAAGAAGACAGGACAACTAAATGTCATGTGGGGTCCTGGATGGGATCTTGGAACAGAAGAGGGACATTGGTGGAGAAACTGGGGAAATCTGAATGTCTGTAGTTTGGTGAGTAGTTTGCACTCATGGTCAATGTCAGTTTTGACAAATAGACCATGGCTATGGAAGGCTGAAGGTATGTGGGAAGTCTGTGTGCTGTCCTCCTGACTCTTTTGCAAATGTGAAATTGTCTTCAGCACAAGCGTCTGCTTTTAAGCAATCCTCTACTCCTCTTCTGTTTGGGAAGGTGGGGCAGCATCGGGGCTGGGCTGCACATTTGGCCAGTCTGGGTAGTTTCTGAGGAAAGAACAATGACATATTCCCCAAATTCTGCAGAATGCGACCCCATTGCCCCTTTTCTGAGATCACTCCTACTGGAGTGTGACAATACCCAGGAATGGAACTGTGTCAAACAAGGCCAGCCAGACAGCTTGGTCTGCAGACTGGGAGGGAAGCATACGTAGGCTATGGGAGCTGGCATACAGGGTGCAGGGAACTTCCCAGAATGATTTCCAGGACTTTGAAATGAATGACTTGAGAATATAAAGTTAATCAATTATAGCCCACCCATCAAACTTATCAACATTATGTACACAGCATAGCCAAAAAGAAACGCCGAGATTATATGGGAGGGAAAATCTGCGTTTCTCCCCTACTCTGGCAGTCTCCAAGGAGGGCCACCATAGATTTCTTCTCTCCAAGAACATGCACACATCAAACAATCATCACTAGGGGGATTGTCTTTCTCCTGTCTTTGAATCTGGGTTGGCCTTTGACTTCCTTTGATGGATGCAGTATGACGAAAGCAATGTCATGCCAGTTCTGCGTCCAGCCTGTAAGAGTTCTGGCAGCTTCTGTGTTCTCTTTTAAAGTCAGCTTTCACAGAAGAAAGTCCAGAACCCCGAGACCACCATATTGTAAGGAAGCCTGAGGTAGCCCTAGGGAGAGGCCACGTGGAGGAACAACCCAGTTCCAGGTAAGTACGGGAAGTCCTGGACTTGCCAGGCCAGCTTAGCTGCCATTGGAACTCGGCTGAATGAGTGACCTCTGCTAATGCAAACAAACACAACCAAAGCAAAACTAGAAGACTCATCCCACTGGTCTATCGAACCCACACAATCATGAAAAAGAAAGACTAAAGCATTGCTCTTGTAAGCCACCAAGCTTTGGGTTGGTTTGTTACATGGCAATGGGTAACAGAAGCACCCACTGACTTGCTGTCTCCTGTTATTCAACTTCTTATACATTGCCTCATACATTTTAATATTTTAACCTTAACACATCAAAAGGAGTTGTAGAATATTTCAGACAGATATTAAAGGAATTGGAAATCAGACTTACTTTACTTCTCTGTCTGCTCTTAAACTCTATCTGCTTCCCAGGTCACTCAGAATAGAAGACAAGCCATCAATATAGCCTGTAAGACCCACATGATCTGTTCTCCACTTGTTGCCTCCCTGATCTCAAGGCCTACTTCTCTTGGCTTTTGGTTCTATTTGAATATGCTGGGCACAGGTCACCTCAGGACCTTTGTATTTGCTGTTCTCTGTGCCTGGAATGTTCTTTCTGTAGAGAATTTCATGACTTGCTTTCTTACCTCCTCATCTTCACTCACTTGTTACCTTGTCAATGAAGTCTTCCCTAACCTGGTTTAAAATTGCTCTTCCCTCCTTCCCTAACCCTCTGTATATCTTGCCTTAATTTTTCTCCATAGCCCTATTATTAATTAACATGTAGTGTGTTATGATTCATCTTATTTGGGGGTCATCTTGCTTTAGTAGAACTAAGATAGCAGAGTTGGTTGGTACTTTTTTTTTTTTCTTTTTTAGTATTGCCATAAATCTAGAGTTAGAATGGTGTGTGGCAAAGTTGGTGTTCAGTAAGTCTTTTTTTTTTTTTTTTTTTTAAGGTGCTAGGGATTGAACCCAGGGCCTTGTGCATGTGTGGCAATCACTCTATCAACTGAGTTCTATCCCCAGCCCTGGGTAAGTCTTTATTGAATGGGTGAACAAGTTTTCTCAAACCCAAACCCTTAGATCTGGTGGTTTCAGGCATGATGCATGGACAGCCTCCCCTACTGGTAGTGTGTGGCATTGCAGTTCATTTCTACTGGACCACAGGAAGCATCACCCAGTGCACTAAAGGAAAACGGTGCCTGTAGGCTGGAGGTCCACCAACTCAATGTTTTAGGCTATGTGGGTCATATGATCTCTATCACAACTGTTCGACTCTGTCACTCTAGCGTGAAGGCAGCTGTTAGCACACATAAGCAAATAAGTATGTTTGTGTTTCCATGAAACTGTGTTTATGAACACTGAAATTTGAATTTCATATCATGGTACATGTAACAAAAACATTTTATTTTTTTTCCTCACCATTAAAAAATATTAAAGCCACTCTTGGCTTGTAAGCCATATAAAACAGATGGTGGACCATCTTTGGCCTATGAGTTGTGGTTTGCTGGACACTGCTATTGACAATCTCCAAGTGACCCAAAGTATGGGAGAAGAATTCAATTTCCAGGGCAAATAGCCACAAGACTATCCATTTTTAAGGAAGTATTATTCATAATGTGAGTTGATGAATATTCATAGTGATTTCTGCATTCCAGGCACTTTTATAGCCAATGCATGGGTGGAAAGTGTCAGGCAGGGGCCAAGTGAAAAGAACTAGTCCTTAAAATCAGAATGCCAAATGCAGTAACCGATTCATGCTTCCTCCCTGCGAGAAAGAGACAGCAATCGTGTGCGGGATCAGAGGCATGCCATCCCAGGTGGGGGACACACAGGAATCAGACTGATGGGGTGCTGAAAAGGGAAAGATTGTGAGTTTATTCCTTAATAGGTCAATTTTTTTGGAGGGGTGGGTGGCTAATGGGGATTGAATTCAGGGGCACTCAACCACTGAGCCACATCCCCAGCCCTATTTTGTATTTTATTTAGAGACAGTGTCTCACTGAGTTGCTTAGTGCCTCACTTTTGCTGAGGCTGGTGTGGAACTCATGATCTTCCTGCCTCAGCCTCCTGAGCTGATAGGATTACAGGCATGTGCCACAGTGCCCAGCTGCCAATTAGCTTTGCTGGATCTCATGGTTGAAGTCTGTGCCCTTGGACAGAGAGTTATTGTATGAGTCAGGGTTCTCCAGAAACAAACAAACAAACAAAAAACCCAAAAGGATATGTATTAATTATAAGGAAATGGCTCACATGGTTGTGGAGGCTAAGCTAAGTCCCATGATCTGCTGTCAATAAGCTGGAGATCCAGGAAAGCTGGTGACAAAAATTCCAAATCCAAGTCCAAAGGTCTGGGAACCAGAAGAGCTGATACTGTAATTCTATCCAAGGATAGAAGATGAATGTCCCAGATCAAGCAGTCAGGCAGAGAGAGTAACTCAACCTTTTTCTACTTCTGTTCTATTCAGGCCGTCAATGGATTGGATGATGCCCAGCTACACTGGAAAGAACATGCTGCTTTACTGAGACCAATTCAAATGCTAATTTCTTCCACATATACCCTCACATACAGAGATACTGTTTAACAAGCTATCTGGGCATCCCATAGCCCAGTCAAGTTGACACCTAAAATTAACCCTTGCAGGTACAAGTAAAAACCTAGTGCCTTTCTGACCACAGGGGAGGCAAGCCAATTTAGGAATCCAAATCAGATAGTGTTCATGTCTCTGGATATGATGCTTATTTGTATCAACTTGCATATTTAGTGTGTGTGTGTGTGTTTTGAGAACATTTAAGATCTACTCTCTTGGCAAAGGTAATTTTGATTTTATAAAAATGCAAAAATGGCTCAAAATCATTTGGGGAAAAAAGAAAAAAAAAGATAAGTACAAGCTCCCCTACATCTTTGCCGCCTCCCTTTGCTCTTTATATCGACTTCTTGTTCTTAGTGCTGCTTTAATTTTAGCCCCCTTTTAAAAGAAAATTATTATTTTGCACATTGATCAGATCCTTGGGAGTGAAAGAAAAAAAGAGCCCCAAACTCACATGTAACCTCTTCCCCTCCATTCTCAGGAGAAAAAGACCTCAAAGCAGAAAAACAAATAATAATAAAGTTAACAAAAGAAAGATAATCAAAATAATCCATGTCCTCACCATCAAGTATCATTGTTAAAAAGTTTTTCCTCCCACATTTTAAAAATCAAAGAGTGTCTTACTATATACCACCTCTGATATTTGATTATTCCGTTTGTTAATATCTCTCTGACACATCTTCCTATGCTAACAAATACAAATCCGCATAGTAGCTTTTAATGTTGCTGTATGTCACACACACACACACACACACACACACACCCCTTTGTATTAAAACCATTTCCTCCTTGGTGTACACTGAGGTCATTTGTTGCTGTTATAATTATACAATAAACAGGTATCTCATGCTTTTATTTGATTGCTTCCTTTGGATAAATTACTAGAGGTAGCATTTCTGAGGCAGAGTATAGTTTGGGCTTTTTATTTATATTCTCACATATTTAAGGCTTTTTGTGTATATTGGCAGGATGCTCTGTGGTCAGGTGACAGAAACTAAGGCTGTGTCCAGTACACCAGGAACACATGGGTGCCTGTCACTCTATTCCTCACCAATGTCCGGTCTTCACTTTTCTCTTTGTGGTACTAGAGATTTAACCCAGGGACACCCCACCACTGAGCTACATTCTCAGTTACCTCCCTGTTATTTATTTTTTTGGTACTGAGGATTGAACCCAGGGGTGCTCAACCACTGGGCCACATCTCCAGCCCCTTTTAAAAATATTTTATTTAGAGAAAGGGTCTCATGGAGTTGCTAAGTGCCTCATTAAGTTTCTGAGACTGGCTTTGAACTCGCAATCCTCCTGCCTCAGCCTCCCAAGCAGCTGCGATTATAGATATGGGTCACTCTGCCCAGCTAGTTGCCTCCCTTTAAAAAAAATTTTGAGTGGGCGAGGTGGAAGGGGGTAGGAAAGATGGTGGAATGAGATGGATATCATTGCCCTACGTACATGTATGATTACACAAATGGTGTGACTCTACTTCATGAACAACCAGAGAAGTGAAAAATTCTGCTCCATTTGTGTACAATGATTGAAGAGCTTTTTACTGCTATGTATAACTGATAAGAACTAATAAAAATTTTTTTTGAGACAGGGTCTTGCTAAGTTGCTGAGGCTAGCCTTGAACTTATGATCCTCCTGTCTCAGCTACACAAGTTACTGAGATTACAGGTGTGCGCCATCCCACCTGGCAGAATATTAACATTTTTATTACCTTTGCCAATCTGATAGGTAGAAAATCCAAGTCTTGTCATTTGATTTGTATTTCCTTGATCGCTAGGGAGGTTAACTATTTTTAAAATGTTGGTTGACCAGTTTTGTGAATTTATTTTTTAACTTCATTATGGAAGATTTTTTTAAAAAAATCACAAAAGTAGAAGAGATCCCTGTGGTCACCCACACCTCAACATTTATTAACACATGGGCAATTTTTTTCACTTAGCTCTTCCTACTTCCTCCTCTCACACATAAAACCACTAGATTATTTTTAAACAGATTCCAGAGATCATATCAAGGGTATATTTTCAGTATATATTTTAAAAACAAAAGGCTTCTTTTCCTGTGATAGTATAACCAATAACATTATCCAACATGAAAAATACAAGGACTTATTAAAATATCAGCAAACACACAGTCAGTGTTAAAATGTATCTGATCGTCTTTCCTTTTTGGTGCTGGGGCTTGAGCCAGGATCTCATGCATGCTGTGCTATGCTTGTATCCTACCACTGAGCTGCACCCCCAGCCCAGCTCATGTTATTAAAATTTTTTAACAGTTGCTTGTTTGAATCAGAATTTATATGAGGTCCACATGTTTGCATGTGGTTGGTACATCTCTTAATTCTCTCTTTGTGTTGAGGTGAAATTCATATATAATGTAATTACTATTTTAAAGGGTACAATTCAGGGGCATTTAGTGCATTCACAATATTGGGTTGGCACCACGCTCTCTAGTTTCAAAACTTTGTCATCACCCCAGAAGGATACTGTGCTAGTAGTTATTCCCTACATCCCCCCTCCCTCCCGCCCTTGACAACCATGGATCTATTTTCTGTCTCTGTGAATTTACTTATTCTGTGCACAGGTAGCTTAAAGTTTCAGCAGCTGAAACAAGGCTCTGAAGTAACAGTGACAGAAGTGCATCTCTCCCCTGTACAGCCATGAGGGCCTAAGCAGTCCATGGCATGTACAGGTGATGTTGTGCCAGAGCCCTTTCCCTTTAAGGCCACAGACTGGCTGTTCTCGCATCACTCTGCTCACCTCCTGTTGACCAGAACTTATCACAGGGTCACACCTAGCTGCAAGGGAGTCTGGGAAATGCAAAGTCATGGTTCTATGGAAGATGGTGGGGGGGGGGGGAAGGTAATGAAAGCTAGCAGGTAAGCCCTGTTAAGGTCCCTTGGGTAACTGAAAATTTTTGTGGTATTAGGGATTGAACTAGGGACACTCTACCATTGAACCCAGGGACACTCTACCACTAAGCTCTACCCCTAGACCTTTCCCTTTTTAAAAATTTATATATATATTCACACACATTCCCTTCCAGGTACCTGTTTATTTATATATATTAAAATATATAATTATTATATATATAATAATTATATATATAATTTTTTTCAAATAAGATTATATAATAAATATAAAATATAGCAAATTTT